ACTTGAAAAAACATATTGAAGGGGGTCAACTATGACTCCTGCAGACATTAATACAGAAATATAATGACTCTTAACTTTGGTCAACTACTTGGCAAATCGAGGTCGCTTTTCTATTGTCTGTACAGTTATGGAACATGAAATGGCGTCAGCATATGGTCCAAACTCAAGTTTCACTGCAAAGTGTAAATCAAGTATACTGACGTCATTCCATGTTTGAAAAGAGTACAGAACATAGAAAAGAAACCTCGGTTTGTTTTTTACCAAAAAAAAAATAATAATAAATCAATAACACGCACTTTTTCGACAAGCGCGCGCTCGTTGTCGTCAGCTCATATTGGTCTGTTCTCTTATCGAAAATCAAAAATAGCCAATCAGCGCGCGAGAAACTACAATTTATGTGATAAAAAAAGGTTTTGATTTTCAAATATAAAAAGTGGTAAAGGGCTTCAAGTATGTGCCCTGGTTATTTATGAAAAAATATCACAGGAAATATTTGCTTTTAAAATTCCAAATTAAAATTCCACCCATTAAACTGCAGTTCCAACATTGCTGGCAGAGATCTCAGGCCCCATATGATAAGCATTGCCTTTGGCTGCTTCCTTGCTTGATCCAGATGCCTTCCCTATCGATCCCAAGAAGGATTTTCGCTTTGGCAGCCTTACTTGACCATTTGCCTTTACATTCTGATACAGGCATTCAGAGAGATTTATGTAATCCTATAAGAAACATGAAAACCATTAAATAAAGGATAATATGCAAATGTTGAATAAAACGTTTTTCTAAGTAGAAATAATGTAAGAAACAAAATTTGTCTCGATCAAAACTTAAATCCTTTTCAGTTGACTCTTTGAATATAACGGAATCAAGATGCCATATAATTTGTCAAATTGCATGGATAATATATAGAATAATTAGTGACAGAAAGTTAGTTAGCTGTTACCCTTGTTTGGACTTCTTCTAACTTTATAAGTGTTTCTTTCAACTCTGGGAACGTTGGTCTGTCATCAGGGTTTGACTCCCAGCAACTCGTCATTACGTCATATCTTGAGAGGAATAAAATAATTCAACAAAACTCTAAGTTATGGTGAACGGAGTTAATAGGTGACACTTATTTAAAAACTAGAACAAAATACACAGAACAAAGAAAAGAACACGATAAAATGCCAATTATTCAATATGCTAGGGGCGAGGTCAAAACAATTGTCCAAAATGGTCCAAAATAGGTGGTGGGTACGTACCGGTAAATACCCCCTGCCCCCTCAGACACCTGTTCAGATGCTCGTTCTTGCGGGTCTGTAGTGAAAATTTCTATGCACAAATATGTTTTTAGCATACATTCAGACAGACAGTCCATTCATTTCTGTGATTTGGCTTTTAGTTTTGGAGATATTTGGAGACAAAATCTAAGATTTCACTACCATAGATGGTGGGTACCGGGTAACACCACCCCTCCCCCCTAAATTGGGTCCCGTGAGATGACAATTGTTTTACCCTCGTCCCCTATATATTTTGTTTTAAATTGCGTCCTTACAATTCTGGATCAACGTGACCAGGGCGTGGCATGCGATACCCGTCATCCAGACGCTGTGGGATCTCTTTTCCATTCAAACCAGCATATGGCTCAGCACCTGAAAACGTTTACAATATATATTGAATTTTAATTCTCTAGGCTCTACTGTATTTATTACATGTCAATGATTACAATTCAAAAAAAGCTTGTTGTCTTTCTTGTTGTTTATATTTTCAAATGATCGAAAATAACAAAATAAGGCAAATTTGTTAGCCTACCGATAGTGCAGATTTCGTACAGGACAACACCAAAGCTCCACCTGATTTGAGGAGATAATAGTAATATCTAATTAGATGATAACTATGATCATTGTATACTAAAACTCAAAATGTTCTTATTTTTTTAACTGTAACCATCTTCCTATATTGTAAATAAATAAATATATATATATATATATATATATATTAACTTACACATCACTCTTTGTCGTGTACTCGCCACTTCCTGTAAGAGCTTCAATAGCAGTCCACTTTACTGGTAAACGACCCTAATGAAACAGATTTTTGTTAGATATAAGATGCAATTGTTTGAAAAAAATTAATGCTATTAAGTTTTAAAAGAAAAAACAAAAATAAAAAGTTCTTCTGTCCCCAACTTTCCTACTTCCAATTGCTTTGAAATTTCAATGATCAATTATTATGTTTATACTTACAGCAATTTGTCTCAGCTTTTCTTCTTTCTTTCATCTCTCTCTCTCTCTCTCCTTCTCTCTCTTGAACACAAGACTATTAACGCTATAGGCTGTTAACAATGGAGCATTTACTGGAGAAAACTAACCTCAGTCGTTCGCACATAGATGTCGTCATTGCTGACGTCCTTCGCCATACCAAAATCGGTAACTTTACAAGACAGACCCTCGCCAACAAGAACGTTACGAGCAGCAAGATCACGATGGATAATCTTTAATCAAAATTAAAAAAAAAAAAAATTAAAGTCGAGAAGTAGAATATAATCTTAGCACAACAACATTTTCCGTCACTTGGTAGAGCATGCTTCTTACATGATCGCGCTTTACGACGTGCCTAAGTCGCTATTTACGGAACGACAATATATTCTTTATATGACAAGCGGGCAAATGAAAGGATTGCAATACTCTTATTTCTGCTAATGTTTTGTAAGTTAAACCACTCTGGTTAATAATTAGCCACAGCAACGGCTGTTCACTGGCTAGCTTTTCTTAGTATGACATATTCATCTAGGTTCTTTGTAAATTAATTTGGATTGTTTTCGGGTAAGTTCCAGATTTTGAGATGAACTAGTTGAGTGAATAATTAGCAAGTATAGCCATGGTACCTTTTCTGAAGCAAGGTAAGCCATGCCATCAGCAACATGCCAACCAAAACGAAGGAGCTGTTGAGATGACAGATTGGTGTTGGGCTTGATTTCTGGATCAGAATAGTAGTCATCATTCTCTCCTCTGCTCTTTCTCAGATATCCCAAGAGATCACCAAACGGTACGTACTCAATAACTACCAATGGGCGACCTGATTCAAAATACAATAATATTAGAACAATAACTTACATAAGGAATGGTCTTAGCAAGAGCCTTTACATCGCTGGAAAAACAAACAAGCAAGAGAACCGAAAACTATTTGCGGTCTACTCCAGAAAAAAAAAATTCCTAACTATACCATGCATTTTCCGAAAGACCATATTGATACACAAGTTGATACGTCACATGGAATTTGGCCGTATTTAATGGCAATTGACCAAATATGTATACTGATTACTCAGGAAATTGTTCTACTTCAAAGACAGGGGTGGGGACGAGCTGCCTCCCTGTCCATATATCCAGTTTAATACTGTTTACTATATGTAACATACGTTGAATTTAGGTAAAATAAAATCTACTGGTAACTAGTATATTGGTTTCAAGGCTATTGTCGTGTAATACACCTAGATTGGGGGTTTTCTGGTATAATATAAGTTTGTTCATAGATGGGTGGGCTGTTACGGCAAATGTGTATATTATCATTACCTTCGTCTTCTCCGCATCCCAATAGCCTTATCACGTGTGGGTGTGGCTTCAGTGTCTTCAGAAGCTCGAACTCTTTCATCAAGTCTCTTATTTCGGCGTCTGTTGCATCAGCTGCATTTAAACATAACAAAAAAGAAACCTTAAGAATGGAATAAATAATATCTATTACCTCATATCGCAATGTTTTATCTTTATATACATATGTAATATCTCCGTCTTCCATTTTCCTTCTATACTGAAGAAAAAACTTGTTGAAGCCCTCTCATTCCTTCACTGTAAATATCATGTATTTCTTCTTCTTTTATGTTGCTTCCCTTCCAGGATTCTTCGAAACACACTTTGCTATCATACCGAGCGGATTTTTCAAAAGGCGCGGATTTCTATACACAGATACTTACCGTAAGGGCTTTTGATAGCCACCAAGTTCCATCCTACACTGTTTGGTCCTTTACCATGGACACGTCCCTTATATACAAGACCAAACGCTCCGTTACCAATAACCTGATGAAAAAAAAATGAAAACCAGATATCCATATGCGGTGTCATTTGAAGAAAAAGTATCACGATTTGCGTCTCGCATAATTAATTTAACTAGATCTTAATGAGCGAGGAAAATTATTATACCATGGATTGATCTTAGAGAAGTAAACGGAATGTTTTGGAAGGAAATAGAGAAGGATGAAGGTGGTGGTAGTATTTAAGGGGGGAGGGGGTGGATTAGTAGTAAGATATATATAACTTTCTAGAATAACACTTTTTTTTTTGTTAAATCAACAAATAGAAGCAAACTTTTTTGTGCTACCTTGAGAATGCAAATCTTTTCTCTTGGAATGGTCCAGTCAGGGTCCATCTGATAACAAGGACTTCCTACCATAGACTGTGTCCTGGATCGAGAACCTAGTAAATTATCATTAGCTGAAGCTTCTCCCCAGACATTGCCTTCCAACGACAATGCTTCTCCAAAGCTGTTGATAATAAGATAATATCTTATCAATATATGCCAAACATTATTTTATCTAAATTTACTATACCAAGCTTTATTTTCTATTATATTACATGTCATGAACGAATGTTATACTTTATATTATACCTTTACTTATCAATGTTATGATCAATTAAATTCGTACTGCGTGCGATGAATTTTTCTTGTCATTATCCAAATCAAAAAGGAGTTGGTTTAAACACACGGGGAAAAATCCAAGTTCAAACAAAAAGCCAATATTAGCTTTTATTTTTTTATGTCGTCTTTCTCATTTAACCATTATAAATGCATAACATTTATTGTAAAACTTACCTAAAATGTCGTGGATCATTCCATTCTGCAAAAAAGGGGACAGATGACATACTTATGAATAAGGAATAGCTATTTTTATAGGCATCTAAAGAAATAAATAAGGTGAATAAAACAAACCTCGTTTGCCTCGTTTGCCTCGTTTCCTTCTTCTTCGATGGATTAGTACAGCCACGACAGCCACAATCACCACTAGGGCAATAATTGGACCGACATATACCAACACGCTAGCACTCGATGAGCTGCCTGTATCACCTTTCCTGGCTGCAGCTTACAACAGTCAAACAAATTACATGAAATAAGCAGGTATTGAAAATAATTACAGTTCAAAGCATATAGCTGTTTGTTCATTTTTCATGGATGAATCAATATTCAGAGTAAAATGCAGTTATCATTACAGTTATCTAACTCATATGACACCCGAGATAAAAGATAACTCGTCTACACATGCTTGCACTTTCCCCCTCCCGAATCAAGAGCGATCGTGCTAAAAACGACTAGTTTTTTC